CACATTCCAGAGCCTCAGGAGCAGGGGCTGGCCCTGGTGTTGCCCCGTGGAACTCAGGAGAACTTCAAGCTGGTAGTGGACACAGAAGGAAAGCAACGACAGTGTCCTGCCCACCAAGGATACCTACTCTTTGTCGTCTCCCCCATGTGTCTCCCTCATCCTCCCGGGGAGAGTTCAGTGGTCATCAGAGTAGCCATTTCTGGATAGCATGCATGAATTGTGGTCTCGCGGCAACAGGAAGCCCTGTAAGCCATTCAAATAAAAAGGAACTGAACGCAAGGCACTGGCCTAGGCGGGAGGGGAGAAGCAAACTGGCCACAGGGGAAGGGGAGGTTCGGCATCTCTAGGGCTGAAGAGAGAGAGAGCCTCTTGATGGGAGATGGGACCAGGGCACAAGGGAAGAAGGGAAGAGGAAACCATCTCTACAAGAGAGGCGGGGAAGCAGACAGTCGCTGTCGCTGGTCTCCTAAGGACCCCTGGCCCTGTGAACAGCTCCGTGGTGTTTTCAAGGCTGTAAAGACCAGCAGGTCTGCCTTCCAAGACAGCTCAGGATGGATCCGAACTGCCAACCTATCAGTTGGTCTTCAAGAGCTTATCCGTGTGTCCCACCCAGAGAGTTCAAAATAAACAAAAGGGAAAAAAACAGCAGGCCTTCACACCTCCCACCTGCCTCTGCCTCCTATTGGCTGCACCCACCCAGAAGTCAGAGGGAAAAGGAGTCTGGGAAATGTAGTTCCCAGCGACACAGAGCTGAGCAGGGGAAGAGCAGAGAATGGATCTTTGAGCAAACTAGCACAAGAGTGAAGGATTAAAACCTAGATATTAGAGTCCTTTCCTTAGGACTTAGGGAGTCCTTGAGAGCTAAAGTGGCAGTTTAGGGCCAGCAGCAGAAAGAAGGACATAGTTCAGCTCCAACCAAACGAATTCACTGCCATTGAATCAACTCTGATGCACAGTGACCCTATAGGACAGAGTAGAACTGCCCCTGTGGGTTTGTGAGATTGTCACTCTGCAGGAATAGAAAGCGGGTCCTTCTCTCATGGAGCAGCTGGTGGTTTCAAACTGGTGACCCTGCAGTTAACACCCCAACTCGTAACCACCATACCCCCAGAGCTCCACAGTTCAGCTAGCTGGGGTTAAAATGGATCCGAGGCAACCGTTACCTGTGAAGTAGGTAACAGGGAAGAGCATGAAGTTAGTCTTGGGGTGCAGGAAATGTTCTGGGTAGGATCATGGTATGACATTGTGTCACCCCAAAATACGTGTTGAAATCCCAACCCAAGAAGAGGGTTGCTGACTGGAAAGTTGAAGCTGCAAACCCACCAGCTGTCCCAAGGAAGAAAGATGAGATGATTCTCCCGTGAAGGTTCCCACCTCAGAAAGCCTGTGGGGCAATTGTGTTCCAATCTTGAGGGTCCCTGTGCCCCAGGACCATCTTGACAGCCATGGGTCTGGTCTTTAGTGTAGACCCATAGAATAGGAGCCCGGGGGACAGTGGTTAAGCAGGCCCAGCTGCTGCACAAAGGGCCAGCAGTCATAATCCCCCAGCCGCGTGGCAGGAGAAAGACGTGCTCATCTGCTCTGTGAAAATGCTACTATTGCTGTTGTTGGGCGCATCGAGTTGGCTCCAAGCCCTGCGAGTGACAGAAGGGACCACTGCCCAGTGCTGTGCCCTCTTTCGACTCATCGCCGTGTTGGAGCCCACCGTGGCAGCCCCTGTGTCGGTCCATCTCGCTAAGGGTCTTCCTCTTTTTCACTCACCCTCTACTTAGCCAAGCCTGGAACCCTTCTCTAGGACCAGTCTCTCCTGTTAACGTGTCAAAAGGATGTGAGACGACGTTTTGCCCTCCTCGCTTCGAATGAGCATCCTAGCGATCCCCTCCTAAGGCAGCCTGGTCTTTATGCTCTGGCAGTCCATGACATTGTCCAATTCGTCACCAATATTGTAATTGAAAAGCACCAATTCTTCTTTGGTCTTCCTTCAACACTGTCCAGCTTTCGATACATCTGAGGCCCTTGAAAATACCACGGCTTGGGTGAGAGGCACCATAGTTCTCAAAGGGACACCTGTGCGCTTTACCACTCTAAAGCGGTCTTGAGCAGTAGATGTACCCAGTGCAGTACATCCCTTGATTAATCCCATGGGCATTGACCGTGGATTTAAATAAAATGAAATCCTTGACAACTTGAAGCTTTTCTCCCTCGATCGTGATGTTGCATATCGGTCGAGTTGTGAAGGTTTTTGTTTTCTTTTGGTTGAGGTGTGATCCACGCTGAAGGCTAACATCTTCGCTCTTCCTCCGTTAAGAACTTCAAGGCTGCTTCACTTGCAGGAAGCAAGGCAGGGTCAGCTGCATATTGCAACCTTCCTATAATGCTGGGGCCACACGTTCTTCATGCAGTAACCCGCAAAGAGTACTTGATCAGCACAGAGATCTGAGTGTGGTGAAAATATAACCCTGACTCAGGCACCTTTTCTGATTTTTAAACCACACACTATCCTTTCACTCTGTTCAAATGACTGCCTCTTGGGCTGTGTGTGCTCCTCATGTGCAAAATTAAGTGTTCTGAAGTTTCCAGTCTAAATATTATCTGTAAAACTCAGGTAAACATCCTGATGTTCTCCACCAAGATCCCGCTGAGATCCCTTGTTCCACATCTTCTGAGTACCATGTGAAATCCTAGCATTTTAAAATGTATCCTCCACAACATATCTCTTGGACGTGACTTTAATGATATTGTTTGATAATTTCCACGTTCTGTTGGGTGACCTTTCTTTGGAATGGGCACACACGGATCTCTTCCAGTCAGTCGACCTGGCAATTGCACTCCACGTTTCTGGCACAGATAAGCGATCTTCCAGCATTGAGCTGTCATAAAGAGCCCAGCCGTGGAACCCCTCTGGGGCAGGTCTACTCTGTCTTACAGGGTTCACTGTGGGTGGGAATCCACTTAAACAGCATCTATCTGTAGATGCAACCCTACTTGAACATAGGATTGTCAGTGTTATGTTCATGAAGCCAGGCTCGGTGGAGGCGTTAGACCGAATCACTTTAGAACTCTAAAGAGAACAGATGAGGCACAGAGAGAAGCAAGCACAAGTGGGGGAAAGAGTGAAGCCATGTGGAGACCACCCAAGAACCAGGACGCTGGGGCTGCAGAAGCTGAGGCCAGGATTTTGCTCAAACATGAACACAGAACAAGCCCTTCCCCTAGAGCTAGCTGGTGCCCCACCCCGAGAGAGCATTCTGCTCATTACAGCTTTCCACTTGTATTTGTCAGAGAGACAGTAGGAAACTGAGGCACATGGGGGGAAAAACTCACTGATCTATATGCATGAACACAGTGGGTTAAGCGTGGGACCGCGAACCTACAGGTCATTGATTCAAATCCATCCGCAGCCCCATGGGAGAAAGATGAGGCTGTCTGCTCCCCAAAAGGTTTAGTCTCAGAACCCAGAGGGTGTACTCCTACCCTGTCCTAGAGGTTCACCATGAGTAGGATTCAACGCAAGGTCTCAAAAAAAAAAAAAAAAAAAAAAGGCAAACTCCCTGGACAGCATAGAACTGCCCCTGTGGGTTTCCAAGATTGTACATCTTTATGGGAGTAGAAAGCTTCATCTTTCTCCCTCAGGACGGCTGTTGATTTCAAACTGCCGATCTTGCGATGAGCACTCTGCCCCCAGACTCCAGCTCGATGGCTGTGGGGTGTGCATAAGATTCTGTACTTTATGCTCTTTGTTGTCCACGTTGTCCACATTACACTTCAGTTCTAAGAGGTGTAAGGAAAAGGATGCCTGTCCTTCTGAAAAATCAGAAAAGTTCA